GGTACTGGCGCTGCCTCTATCATCTCACTAGGGTTCAAGGGGGCCCCTACGGGGGCCCCTATGGGGGCCCTCGAGGGTACAGCCATCTCCCTCTGGCAAGGGGGCCCCCCAAGGAGCCATGATGACGTAGGCTGCTGGCTGAACCTGCTGCTGCTGCAGCAGATCTTCCTGCTGCAGCAGCTGCTGCTGCTGTAGCAGAAGCTGCTGCTGCTGCAGCTCCTGCTGCTGCAGCAGAATGTATTGCATGCCTGAGGCTTCTGTTGGAGCTGCTTCTTTGCTGCTGAGTTCCGCTACCACAGCAGGCAGAGATCTGCTGCTGCTGCCACCAGATCTTGCTCCCCGAGAGAAGCAGCAGCTGGGAAGCTGCTGCTGCTGCTGCTGCTGCTCCTGCTGCTGCTCCTGCTCTTGCTGCTGCTGCTGCTGCTGCTGCTGCTGCTCAGGGTTCAGATTGAATGTGGTGAGGAAATTTTCTGAATTTGCAGTCAACGATAAGCGGCTGCTGCCGGCGCTGATGAGACGCTGCTGCTGCTCCTGCTGCTGCTGCTGCTGCTCCTGCTGCTGCTGCTCCTCTTCCTGCTGCTGCTCCTCTTCCTGCTGCTGCTGCTGCTCATTCTGGCAGCAGGAAGAACCCAGACAGGAGGCCTTCATGGTGAGCCAGCAGGTGACCTGTCTCGCTGCTTCAGCTTGTCTTGCTGCAGTATCCTCGGGTGTATGGACAGGGCAGCAGCTGCTGCTGCTGCTGCAGCAGCAGCTGCTGCTGCTTTCAAGCAGCAGATCTGCTTCCTGTATTTCGCTCTCTTTCCTCCTGTTTGCCTCTTGCTCTTGCTGCTCCTGAAATGCTGCTGCTGCTGCTGCTGCTGCTGCTTCTGCTGCTGCTGCTGCTGCTGCTGCTTCTGCTTCGGCTTCTGCTGCTGCTGCTGCTGCTGCTGCTTCCGCTTCTGCTTCTGCTGCTGCTGCTGCTTCTGCTTGAGCTGTCTCTTCAGCAGCAGCCCTTGAGGTCGCTCTGCTGCCTTCTGCTGCTGCTGCTTCTGCTGCTGCTGCTTCTGCTGCTGCCTCCGCCTCAGCCTCTGCGGCAGCAGCAGCTGCTGCTTCTTCTGCTGCTGCTTTTGCAGCAGCAGCTGCTGCGAGTTCGCGTCTTGCTGCTACCTTTGCTGCTGCTCTTGCTGCAGTCTCAAGCGCCCGTGAGGAGACGCCGCTGCCCCCCAATACTGACCGTTCAGAACATGAGGGAGACAGCAGCACTTGCTGCTGCTGCTGCTGCTGCTGCTGCTGCTGCTGCATGAGCTGAAGACGCAGCTGAAGCTCTTGCTCCATTTGGCTCAATTGGCGGTATTTTTCTCTTTGCTGCTGCTGCTGCATGCTGAGTTGCTGCAGCTGCAGCCCCCTCTGCTGTTCCGCTTCCCCTTCCTGCAGCAGCAGCTGCTGCAGCTGCTGCTGCTGCAGCGATGGCTTGTGCTGAAAGTTGATAGTAACTGCAGTCTGCTGCGAGTCCTGTGAGGCCTCTCTGAGGAGGTTGCATGCAGAGGGCGCGCAGTAGCTGCTGTGCTGCTGCTGCTGCTGCAGCAGCAGCAGTTCTTGCTGCTGCCGTTGCTGCCTGAGGATTGCTGTTTGTTGCAGTGTATGTACAGGTGGATGGAAAGCAACAAGCCTTCGTTTTTCTTTGTCTTTTCTTATTTGTGTCTGCAGCAGCACGAAACGAATTGCTGCTGCTCCGTCGCTGCGGGGTGTTGCTGTTGGGCTGCTGCTGGGAGACAGCCANGCACGAAACGAATTGCTGCTGCTCCGTCGCTGCGGGGTGTTGCTGTTGGGCTGCTGCTGGGAGACAGCCACGGCTCTGCTGCAGCAGCAGCAGCAGCAGCAACAACCTTCTCCTTCTTTGCTCTCAATACTCGCAGCTTGATAGGTACAAACGGAATGCTGCTGCTGCTGCTTAGTGCTGCTGGCGGCATCTTCTGGGGGCGCCGCACTTCACACGCTCGCACTGTTGCTGCTGCTTCTGCTGCTGCTGCTGCTGCTGCTGCTTCTTCTGTTGCTTCTGCTGCTGCTGCTCCTGTCTCTGCTGCTGCTGCTGCTGTCTCCTCAGCTTCAGCCTCTCTTGGCGTTGCTGCTGCTGCAGCAGCAGCAACAGGCCATCTGCTGAACCAGGCAGCAACGCCGCTCAGCAGCCCACCCTTCTGTTCCTCTTGCTGCTGCTGCTGCTGTTCTTCCTGCTGCTGCTGCTCCTGCTGCTGCTCTTCCTGCTGCTGTATCTGCTGCACATCTTGCTGCAGCTGGGATTGTTGCTGCTGCAGTTCTATCTGCTGCAGTTCTTGCTGCTGCAGTTCGTGTTGCTGCGGCTGCGACTGCTGGTGCAGCAGTTGCTGCTGGTCTTGTCCCTGCTGTTCTTCGTGCTGCTGCTGCTGCTGCTGCTGCTGCCAGGAGCAGGAGGGGCAGCAAGCACAGAGAGCAACAGAAGGCTGCTGCAGCGCCGACTGAACTGCTGTTTGCTGCTCCTCTGTGGATGTGCTGCAGCAGATGCAGTACACCGGGCTGGGAAGATAAGAAGAAGAATAAACCCTGCTGCACCCTTGCATGCTGCTGCTGCTGCTGCTGCTGC